GCTGATCACTTTTGGAGGGCAGTTATTTAATTACGCACGTGCTTCTCTTGGGCTCTTTGGGGATCCTGAGTGCTTTGGGGAGGGGAAAGGCGTGAGGCAGCCTCAGTGAGCCCAGGGCTGGAGCTGCATCCCACAGGACTGGGGGGTTGTTTGCTCTCACAGGGGGAACGTTGCATTTTTTTACCTTCTTTCACTTCAATTTGCCATCATCCCAGTTTCATTCATCATTTACTTGCCTAATTAGCCCCTTTGCTGCAGGGGAGCATCTCAGAATCCTGCTCCTGGGTCTGTCTTCCCTTGGGTCTTTTCTGAAGGGATATCACCTACTTTTGGGTGTCTCAGGGTCCTGCAGCAGGAAGCAGGACTGACCCCTACCCCTTGAGCCAAGGCCATTGTCACCCCCAAGCCTGTGAAAGAAGCTCCAGAGCTTCACACAAACCACTCACCTTCATTTTCACCCCAAACATTTTACATCTGGAAAACACAAATGCCTTTTCCATCACTTGCCCTGTCCAGTCCTGAGGACTCCAGGGAGGGGGATGCAGAGGTGGCAGCCTGGCCTGTTGCTTCCAAAACTGCATTTTTTATTTAACTTAAAAAAAAGAAAAAAGGGAAGTGGAGAGAAATCTAGTGAGTGGCAAATGTTAGGGGCAGTTCCTGCCCCTTCAAACAGTGGCCAGCAGGGTGCCTGTGAGGAGCACAGCTGTGAGTGTCCTTCTGCAGAACCTCCTGGTTTGGGGGAGAAGAAATGGAGACTTGGAAGAGGGAGAGAGGGTGGCAGAACCAGCAACATTCAACTAAAATCGTTTTTTTAATCATAGAATTGTAGAATGATTTGGGTTGGAAAGGACTGTTAAAGCTCATCTCATCCCACCCCCCTGCCATGGACAGAGACACCTTCCACTAGCCCAGGTTGCTCCAAGCCCTGTCCAACCTGGCCTTCAATGCTTCCAGGGATGGGGCAGCCACAGCTTCTCTGGGCAACCTGTGCGAGTGTTTTACCCACCTTCATTGTAAAAAAACTTCCTTATATGTAACCTAAATCAACCTTCTTTTAGTTTTAACCACCCCCCCTTGTCCTCTCACCGCAGGCCCTGATTAAAAGTCTGTCCCCCTCTTTGTTACAGCTCCCCATTCATGATGTAAAGAAATAGGCAGCTGCTGGGGGGGAGGCCTCTGGGCCAAGATACCCTTGGAGGGGGGGGATGTCCCAGGAAAAACAGAGTGTCCACGCTTTTTAAGAGGGGGCTGTGGTGGGGTTGTGTCAGCAGGAGGCTTCTGCCTGAGTCCTCTGAGCCAGGGCTCAGGTTTCTGGTTTTTTCCTGCTAATTTTCAGAAGCATTTGCAGCACGTGGCCCATATCCATAATTGCACTCCTGGACTTGTTCTGCTCTGATGCATAAATAACATGCACTGTAAAGAAAAAGTGTATGATTACATATTTAATGGATAAACGGAGCCGTTGTGGTCTATTGGCCACATAATAAAAGTTTCCAAAAAAAAATTGTCTTAATACAGTGTTTCCCCAGGAGACTGCCGTGGCTGAAACGTGAGGGAGCTATTTTAAATTTTAAACATTTTTTTGAGCCACGTTTCATAGCCTTCCCCATTTCCACAACACCCGTCTTCTAAACTTTTCCTTCATTTAAATTTAAAATAAGGACAATAAATTATTCTTTTCCTTAGCAGCTGGCAGATCCTCTCCAGCGTGAAAGGTCTGGATTAAGGTGACAAAACCCCAGACAGACGTACCTTTTCCACTGGAATTTGGGAAGCAGCTTGCTGCTCATGCAGCAGAATGGTGCTGAGCTGTCTCCCCACCTTTCATGCCCCTCATCACTGCCTGTCCCACCTTGGCCATTCCCACAACTTTGGCAAATTCAATTGCAAGTGCAGGAATTGCCTCTCTGGTGCCTCCTGTGCTGCCCAAGCCTGGTGTCCATCCCCGTGGCTGCATCACCCTCGATGTCTTTGTGACCAGGATTTCCCACACCATGGCCAGGAGAGGCCAGAGCTCTGCAATAAGGCACATAATGAGGTTTTAAGGGCACATAAATCTTTGCCAGAGCAAAGCCAGCCCTGCTGCCTCCTGGACACCACCAAAGCCAAGGGGAGCAATTCAGAGTGGCCTCTAAGTCAGCCTCAACCAGGCTCCTCCTGCTGTTGAAATGCAAGACAGCATTTAATTCTTGTGAGTTAAATCCCTTCACTTTGTAATTAATACAGAAAAAGGGCAGATCTGGGAAAACTTGTCCCCCTGACACCACTCCTCTACTGATGGAGAATCCAAAAGAGAGCAGAACATGCTGTGGGGTGTTGTGTAAAGCTCTTGATTCCTGACCTGCAGCAGCAAATCTAGTTTTGCATTCGGATTTGTTTCCTCTGAAGCCTGCCGAGCCCTCACTGGTCTTCCCTGGGTTTCCTTCTGTGTGTGCTGCTAATGGAGTTGGCAAACCTCCCCTGGTAATGAGAGATCACACCTCAACAGGCTTATCAGGAATGAAGATTGTTAATAAATAAAGCTCGGGTCTTTAAACTCGTGTTAACGTTAATCAGATTAACATGAAAGAGAAAAAGCCTGGAAAACAGTTCAGGCAGGGTTTGCCTCCCTGCCACTCCATGGCTGGAGGAGGCTGTGTGGGAGCTGGGCTCTGCCTGTGGCTGTGAGTTCTGCTGCTGGGGGTGACCAGGCAGGGATGGATCTTGGGGGGGAAATTGGGTTTTCATGGAAAATACTACAAACTGGAAATGGAGTCTTGGAGCAACAAACAGCAGGTTTGTCCCCATCTCATACTTGCTTCTTGGTAGACAGGGGGTGGACACGCTGGAAGGAGTCCAGGAGAGGCCACAGAGATGCTCCCAGGACTGGAGCCCCTCTGCTCTGGAGCCAGGCTGGGAGAGCTGGGAGGAGAGAAGACTCCAGGGGAGACCTGAGAGCCCCTTCCAGTGCTTAAAGTCCCTCCAGGAGAGATGGAGAGGGACTGGGGACAAGAGATGGAGTGACAGGACAAGGGGAATGGCTCTAAGCTTAAAGAGGGCAGGGTTAGATGAGATTTAAGTTCTTCCCTGTGAGGGTGGGGAGGCCCTGGCACAGGTTGCCCAGAGAAGCTGTGGCTGCCCCATCCCTGCAAGTGTCCAAGGCCGGGCTGGACAGGGCTTGGAGAAATGTGGTCCAGTGAAAAGTGTCCCTGCCCATGGCAGAGTTTGAAATGAGATGACCTTTAAGTTCCCTTCCCACCCAAACCAATCCAGGACTCTGTGATTGCTGCTGCTCCCTCCTGACCCAACCACTTGAACTTTGGTTTATGCCGTGGCACGGGGAATATACACTTCACAAGGTATTTTTATTACGTCTAATGCAGCATTCAGCATTCCTTATTAGACACATATATATATATGTTTCATTTCTCCTTCCAATCTTTCAAGGGCAGTGGGCTCAGCAGCCTCAGGAGGCAGCGCTTGTGCCTGCGGCCTGTGCGTGTCCGTGTGTCCCTGCAGCTGTGTGTCATTAGTCACCTTTCAGTCCCATCAGATGTTCCCTCTCTCTCCCATTATGAGAACAGATTAATGGGTATTAGGAAACTCCACATTTTTTGGGGACAGCTCTGTCACGTGGCCTCTTCCCCTCGTCTCTTACCTCCACACGTGCACACACATACGTCGTTTCTGGCTCCTTCCTTCACTGGGAGATCTTAACAAGCAGCCCATAATGGTTTTTTTCCCTTGTCTGGACTCTTTTTTCCTTTATTTTGTTTTCTGCATTCATTTTGAGTGGGATTGGAACAGATTGTAATATTTAAAAATGGAAGAGTCATCTGGAGATGGAGGTGGTGGCCACCAGCAGATCTTGCTTCCCCACCTTGGGGTCCAGTCCAGGGAGAGCTTGGACCCCCTTCCAGTCCCTAAGTGCCCCAAGAGAGCTGCCCAAGGGCCAGGAGTGACAGGACAAAGGGGAATGGCTTTAACCTGAAAGAGGGCAGGGTTGGATGGGATATTGGGAAGAAATTCTTCCCTGTGAGGGTGGCGAGGCCCTGGCACAGGTTGCCCAGAGAAGCTGTGGCTGCCCCATCCCTGGAAGTGTCCAAGGCCAGGTTGGACAGGGTTTTAAGCAACCTAGTGTAGTGGGAAGTGTCCCTCCCCATGGTGGGGGGTGGAATGGGATGATCTTTAACTTTCCTTCCAACCCAAACGATTTGATGATTCTGTGGTTCTGTGTTGTGATAGAAGCTTGGGGCTTCTGGAGCTTGGGGATGTACAGACCTCTGCTTTGAGGGTGGTGTCACAGCTCTGGGCAGATTGATGTGGTGGGAGCAGGGACCTGGGGCTCCCACTGATGGATTTTGTGCTTTCTTGTTCCTAGGTTTAACCCCAGTAGCACAAGTGACCCCACAGCCCTGCAGAGGGTGCAGGGGGGGTTGGTTGTGGTACCTTCAGATACTCAGACGAGCAGATATTTTTTTCATCTCTGCAGTTACTAAATGTCAGCACCAAGTATTGCTCAGAAAGACCATGTTTGGGATACACAACTTCTGATGCTGCATTCCTGATGTACCAAATACCCTGGCACAACATGTGCCTGTGCTCAGCCATGGCCTCACATCGCAGCAGCAAAGCTTGGCCTCAGAAATGCCCAGTAAACTGCAGTGCCATCCCTTCTCCTGGTGATGTGGCAAAAAAATTGCTCATTTATGAACATTTTGGTTTTATATCCCTGGTAGATGCCAGGCACCAGTGGTCCCAAAGGCAGGCAGGGGCACCTCTTGGGCACACAGACCTATGTACAGAGGTGATTTAGTACCTCTCTGCAATGCTCACGGGCAGGGGGATGGCAGGAGCTCTTGCTCTTGGTTTTTTTTGGGGTAGGGGAGCACGAGGAAGAATCTCTCCCAGCCACGGGGGGACAATTTAAACAATAAATCCATCAGAGCTCGTCTTGAAGTGATTCGACGGCGTAATAAATCCACGGGTACCTTTTGTAATGACGAGGTGATCTTCTCCCCACTCAGATCCAGGAGATGGTCCACTCGGACGCCGCATCCTACGATTCCAACCGCCAAGTGCCCCTGCTCAACCGCCCCGGGATGCTGGCCGGCCCCATGAGCGCCCTCAGCCAGTCCCAGCTCATCTCTCAGATGGGGATGAGGAGTGGTGTCGCCCACGGCTCCCCCTCGCCCCCGGGAAGCAAGTCTGCTACACCATCTCCCTCCAGCTCTACTCAGGAAGAGGAGACGGAGTCACATTACAAGGTACGTGCCCTGTTTTATGGAGGGACGTTCTTCAGCGAGGGGTAAATCGTGCTAAATAGGCTTTTATTTTGAATATATGGAGTGGGAGACTTCCCCAAGGATGAAGTGACTTGTTCCCAGCCTAGGGTGAGATGGGAGCTGGGCTTCTGCCTCCACGTTTTACCAGGTCCATCCAGCTGCAGAGTTTCTTCTTCCGAGGATTTTGGGGAGCAAAGCAGGTTCAGGGCTGAGGGTCCTGCAAATGCTTGAGGCAAAATTAGATTTCTAGTGGTGGATAGAGGAGACTAAAACAGGGAAGAAAAATATCCCGTGGTAGGATTTAACTGAGCTCACCGGACGTGGCTTGCTAAGGTAAAAAACCCCAGAAATTAAAAGAGGAAGAGTCTTTTAGTTCACCCAGGTGGTGTTTTAAGTAGTCAGCAATGTCTCAGTGGTCTCTACAGCCAACACAACTGCTGCTGAGCATGGTGTGAACAAGCCCAAGGAATTCCTAGGGTTTGGGGCACATCTTGGTTGTTGCTCATCTCTCTCAAAATGCACCAGGAGAGCAAACAACACGTGCTGTGCTCCAGGAGTCTGCAGCTGTTGTTTATTGAGGGCAAACTCCAACAATTGCTATGTTGCTGCCTCAATACCTGGTGTGTGCCTTTGATTAAAGCCTGTCATGGAAAACCCTCTCCTGGAAGGTGCTGACCCAAGGCACTGGGGTTGTAACCTTGTCCCACCAAAACAGACTGTTGTGACAGGATTTGAATGTATAACCAGAGCAGCAAACAGTGCAGACACTGGAAAACTAGGAGAATGCTAGGACTGAGCAAAAACATTTCCCTGTCTGTGGAAATCCAGGAAAATGGATTCCCATCAATCCTGTAGTTCTTTATCCATTGGCAGGTTTCACTTTGGACTGGGGCATTTCAAAGTAGAGTGCAAACGTGGATGCAAAAGCAGCTTCAGTGGAATACAGCTGTAAAAAGAAGAGATACACATGGTTAAAAATAGATGGAGTTTTTCAAACTCTCTGATTCCATGTCTGGGGTGCACTACAGGCTGGGTTATGCTGCTGGACCCCACAGTCTGCCATCTCCCAAAGCCTGTGTCACACAGCTCCAGGCAGTGACCTGGGAGCTGAAATATTTCATATCAGCAGAAAATTAGTTTCAGCTTAGTGACACACCAGGTTCTCTCTCTGCCTCCATCAGCATCACCAAGCATTTCCTCCCAGCCAGCCAGGAGTCCCTGGAGCTTTGGGGTTGCACCTTCTGTTCTCTTGAGCCAGTGGTGCCCGTGGGAGTAGGAAGAATTTGGAGACGTCCAAATTTGCAGAGATCAGGATTTTTCCTAATCCTGAAGGCAAGCCCCCTCGTTTTTTCTGCCCTGTAAACTCCCCATCAAGACAGGTGGGACAGGAGTGATGTGTTTGATGGAGGAGGAGCCCCTAAATGTCAGGAAAGCAGCAGAGCTGTGTTATGGCCTGCAGGTTTCTGTTTGCTTTCTCTGTCTGCACAGCTGCTGCATTCACCCACCAGTCATTTTTCATGTGGCCATTAAGGGCTTTTCTGCAACAGGTCATCAAAGGAACATCTAACAAGCAGAAATTCATCTTGTGAGGAAGAAGGTCACACATTAAAGAAATGAGTCTGATGCCAGCAATTACTTCAGGTCCAGCAGGTCCTCTGAGCCAGGGACTTTATGATTTTAGGAGGTCTCCCAGCCCCACTGGTGCATTTACTTGCTTCACTGCTTTGGGGTACCCATGCACGGGAAGGAGAGGTTGTTACAGCTCAAATTCCAGCTGGATTTGTGGTTGCCCTCCATAGTTATTAAAATCACAGTGTCCATGGGGTTCCAGTTCTTCATGGGTTCAACATCTAAGAAGGTACCAAGGTTATGGGATCATATCTGTCACCAAGGAATTGCCCCACATCTGTCCACATCTGGTGTCAAACAGACCTGCTGCTGCCTCTCCAGGGCAAGTCCATACACTTCATCCTGCTGCCCAAGCCTCCAAGGGTCATCCCCAAGGGGATGCTCTGGGACCACAAGGCTCTGCCTCATTGGGGTTTGGTTTAGCCATGAATATGGCTTAGGTTGTTCAAGCATCTTTTAAGGTCCAGGGCCAGGCTGCTGTCTCATCCCAGCTGCATCACAGCTGGAAAACCCTATGAAAACCAGTCAAAGTCCTGATCTGCTCTGCTCCCTCCTGGGCACTGGCAGCTCCTGGCAGCCTCACAGCGTCTGTTTTCCATAAATCCCACGTGCTCTTTGGTGCTGCCTGAGCAGGACTGGCTATAAACCTGCCTGGGGTTGTGTTGGTCCTGTTCCAGCTCCTTGGCTTGGTCGGTGGCTGTGAGGGAGGAGGTTCCCCTGTAGCATTTCAGTGAATCAAACGGGATCACAGTTATTTAAAATACCATCTCACTTCCTAATGGGCTGAAGCCCTGTCATGCTTTTTTTTTTCATCCTAATAAGCTGGCCTTTCACCTCCAGGCCTCCCATTCAAGCCCAATTGGGCAATTTTAAATTAAATGCAATTTTTTTGAGCTCACTGCTCATTCACTAATGGTCACTGTCTGTTTGACAAATGTCACTGCGCTGATACTGAAATTAATGGCCAGTCAAGAGCTGCTGAGCAGGGAACAGGAGCACTGCTGCCCTTTCCTCCCCGTGCCTGCCCTGTGCCAGCTGAAGGGAAGCCTCTTAAATCCTGGCACTGCCCAGTACGTGGTTAAATCAACAAATCCATCAGGAGAAGAGGCTGTTTACTCCCAGCTCAGCGGGAGGAAGTGTGTTAACAACATCTTGATGTTTAGACCTGTGTCTTTTTAAGAGATACAACAACCTGTGCAGCTGGTGGAGCAGGGACTGACACAGTTGGGTACTGGCTGAGCACTCAGTGCTTGTGCTCAGGGTCTGCAGGTGGAGGGGCTGGTGCCCCATTTGCCCTCCTGGGTGCAGAGATCCAGCCTGCAGCAGGCAGTGGTTTTATTCTCTGCCGTGTTTAACCTCCAGTATTTAGTTTTTCCTTCACTGTAAAATAAGGATAATGGTGCTTTCCTGTAGCGTGAGCTTTCACTGACCACATGTAATGTCTTAAGAGCTTTGATGGATGTCCAAGTGCTTTCTAGGGGTGTTTTCCTTCTCACACCCTCACATGGAGACTTTTGCACTCCCTTATATTCATAGAATCGTGGAATATCCTGAGCTGGAAGAGACCCACAGGAATCATCCAGTGCAGCTCCTGGCCCTGCTCAGGGCACCCCAACAATCCCACTTTGTCCCTCAGAGCATTGTCCAAACCCTCCTGGAGCTCTGGCAGCCTTGGGGCTGTGCCCACTGCCCTGGGGAGCCTGTTCAGTGTCCAACCACCCTCTGGGGGAAGAACCTTTTCCTAGCACATTGCACAGGTATCCTGATTGAGGCCGATGTAGGATCTTCTTTCTGAGCTACCTTCACTGGCAGCATCCCTGTTTCCTGACCTGCTATTCCACTGCCCAGCCCAGTGGCAGCATCTTGTGCTGAGTAGCCACAAAGTCCAGCTCCTGTTGCCTTTGTCCTGCTCCCCTTGGTTCCAACACTCTCAGGGCACTGAGCGTGGGTACAGCCAGACCTGGTCATCCAACTGCACCCAGATGGGTTGTAAAGAGTGAACAGCACATGCAAAGCATTTAATTCATAAGATTAAAACAGTTCCATTCCTGGATATTTTTCCTGTTAGCAGAGTGAAGCAAATTTTGGATGGCCCCAGTGTGATGGTTAATGTGATGCTGGTGCTGCTTGGTCAGTGCTCACAGTCCTCCTGGGAATGGGGACACTGAGCCACTGGCACACACGTGGATAAGGGAAATCAGGAGCAGCTTGCAAAGGGGGCTTATTGGGGTGGAAACCAGAAACCATTTGGAAGCCAACTTCGGAAAAATTCATAACCTGGTAAAGGGATATGGCTGGGAAGCAAAGCATGTGGAGAGGTCCCAGAAAAGTATCAAGGAGTGAGTGAGCTTGTGGTGCCAGGGAGGAGGAGGGGGAAGGAGGGTGACCAAGGGTGAGTGCCTGGAAAGCCCTACTCTTGGAGCAGGTGCAAAGGGATGAACCCAGGCTGTGAGCTGGTCTGAGTGGAGTCACCAAGCCAGGCTCAGGCACCCACCAGCAGTTTGTGTAATGATCCAAGAGGCTCCTGGGGCCAAAGAGACCCCGAGGGCTGCTGCCCCCCTCTCTCCATGCTGGGATCCCTCCCCTGCCATTCCCCCTCTCATCTCCTTGGCTGTAGCAGGGACTTGTATCTGACCACTCCCAGCTGACTGCTATGGTTCATCTCATGGTTTTGCAGGCTACTGGAGAGAAAAGACCATCAACAGACCTGGGCAAGAAGCCCAAAAGCCAAAAGAAGAAGAAAAAGAAGGACCCCAATGAGCCCCAGAAGCCCGTGTCAGCCTACGCCCTGTTTTTCAGAGACACACAGGCAGCCATCAAAGGGCAAAACCCCAATGCCACCTTTGGAGACGTGTCCAAAATCGTGGCATCCATGTGGGACAGTTTGGGAGAAGAACAAAAACAGGTGAGTGACTGATTTATTTACTTTTATTTTTTTCTTTCAGTTGTTGAAATGTGTTTTTCCATGGCACAGAGCATCTCCCCAGGCACGGTCAGAGCATGGCCAGGCTGGAGTGTGTGGTCAGGAACAGAGGCTGTGTTCAGGAGCACTGCTGAAGTGCCAATTGTGAAAAATTGCTGTTGTTGCATTGGGAAGAGCAAATTTTTATGACAACTAATTATTCTTGATAAGTTCATACTCTGCAAAACCATCAATGGCCTTTCCCTGACCTGAAGTTTTACAGCCTTAGATGGGAGATGGGTTTGTGTTTGCTTATTTACTTACCAGGAGTGACAGTACACTGGCTAAACACTGTTAACTCCCTATATTGCTGCCTTCAAATCCAACGGTCAGGCTTTAAAACCTTGGGAAGGAGATGTCTGGAGTGGCCTCACAGAGGAAACCTTCCTGCCCCAAAGCTGTCAGCCACTCTCCGTTTGCTTCACACGGAGAATTCTGTGTCCTGCTTTCACTGTTTTGTTGCTGCTGAGTCTGTTACAAAAGCCTGTAATTGCTTGTTGCCTATTGAGAGAACCCCAGGGAACACTTCCTGTAGCAAGGATGGCTTTTTATCAAGCAGAGTGAGATCTGACACTGTGAGATGTGTCCTGGATCCAAACAGGCTTTGTCTGGGAGCCCTTCTCCTAGAGCCTGGCTGCCAGCTCCTGTTGGGTGTCCATGGCCAGCATTGGAAGCACCTATGTCTGGAGAAGGAGCAGCAGGGAGGAAAAAAGCCATTAAGCTGGAATTCATGCTAGGAAATAGCCTTGCTTTCCACCCCACACCATGTTGGGAATATGAGCAAGGCATCTTCTGGGATGGTAGCCTTTCTGCTGCTCCTTTTGGAGCCTCCATTCTGTGCAAAGTGGTGCTCTGATGTTCTCGTGATCCTCCCTTTTCTCCTCTTTGGCTGGATCCCTGGTGGGTCGTGCAGGCAGGAGTTCCTCACGCTGAAGAGGGGAGGAAGGTCCCTGCTTGTGCAGCAGGGTGACCCCAGCCCCAGGCAGCTGCTGGGCAGGGTCTGGGTTTGGGCTGTTGGGGCAGGGTGTGGAGGTTCAGGAGCGTGGACAAGTTTTCTGTCACCTCTTTCTCCTGCTTTCATCCCTCCCAAACTCTCGTTCTGCCTCTGCCTTGCTCTGCCTGGTTACCAATGTCTCCGTAGTTTGGGCACTGAGCTCGGCTGCAACTGTGGCTCAGAGAATGGAAGCACTGGTGCGACCCTGACTCAGCTCAGTGCAAATGCTCAGCTCTTAATTAACAGCAGGGATTAAACCAGCCCGTTTATCTTCCCTGCTAACTCTCCCTCCTTCTCTTTTATGAGCTTGCAGCAGCCTTGCCGTCTCTTTACACATGCTTTCTAAGTGGCTCCATTTCTCCCTCTGTAATTGATTTAATTAAGTCATTTGTTCCTTGTCTGAATGCTTAAATATTAACTTCCTGGCTTTGTCTCCAGCTGGATACTTCTCTCCCACAACAGTTACCTCCCTGCCCGGGACTCTGGCTGGAGGGACTCTATTTATCTTTGGCTCTGGGACTGTGTGGCTGATTTGTGCAGTGTGGCACGTTCACTCTTGAAGTGTCTGGCTGCAGGAGAGTTTATTTAGTCCCTGTTTGCTTTCCTCCACCAGCATCCCCAGACAAGTTGGTTTTTGTTTTTTTTTTTTTTAGATTCACAAGGCAATGCAATGGAAAGGGAAAAAGGAAGAGAAAATTTAAAAAGCGTTAACAAAATGTCTTTAATACATGAACAGAAATGCCTGGGCTGTGCTGTAGATCTTTCCTGCCCAGGGCTCCAGGACAGGGTGCACACATTCCCAAGGAAGGCAGGCAGCCCGTGCTGAGAGCTCTCCTGGCACATCTGGAGAGGGGACAGGGATGGAGCAAGACAGCCACATGCCACTGGCCAAAATCCTGCAGGGACCTGGGAGTCCAGATTCCCATATGGCTGTGCCAAATCATGGCTCAGCTCATTGCCAGGCAGGAGCATCATGCTCTGGGAAGGAGCAGGAATCAGGAAAAGGGAAGGGTTTCATCTGGGACTCTGCTCTTAGCTTTGTTGACAGCAGTGGCTTCATGTGCTCACTGCAGAGAGCAGTGCAGAGGACAGGCTGGGGAACAGCCAGCACAGGGATGGCACAGCAGGCAAGCAAGAGCCAAATCTGGGCGTTCTGCCTCAATTATGACCAAGGCTTTAGTTCAAGAACACTTCCCCTCTTCCTCACATGAGAAAAGAGGGTGGATTTGAGGCTGTAGGATCCATCTGGAGCTTGTCCCACACTTGGATCTCTCGCAGCCCCCAAGATGCTCATGGTGGGGCTGGGGCATCCCATCTCCAGAGGGGCAGCATGCAGACCCCAGCCCCACCAGGGATTATTACTAGTTGTTTCCATCTCTGTAATTTCTGCTTCAGATGACTTTTACAAACCTTGTTCTTCACTTTCCAATGGGACCAGTTTCCTCAATCCTGGATGTGTTTTAGTTCCTGCCTTGTGGGAGAGCAGCAGGCAGGGAGCAACAAGGGAGGGGCTTCAAGGGAAGCTGGTCCATAAACCCACCTGCAGCCAAGGTGTTTTGGGTTTGTGATTCCCCTGGCACGTGTCCTGCTGTCCCTGCACTGTGTCCATCAATCATCCCATCACAGGGGTTGCACAGAGGTGGAGTTGCCACCATGCCAGTGCCAAAGGGATGAGGAAAGCCCAGTGCTGATGGCTTGTAGCCACGCTAGCCAGTGCCCTGGACTGGGGTGGATTGCTCTGTGCCCCCTCCAGAACCTCAACCCCTCTCCAAGGATGCTACATGGAGCATTTCTGCCATCAGCAGTGAGATGCCACCCCTTTGCCAGGTAGCCCTGCCCAGCACACGGAGGGTTAATCCTCTGCCATTTGTGCTGCTAATGATTATATGCACTGTAATATCAAAGCTGTAGCTATTTATTTGCCATTGAGCAGGTGCTGCTGCTCCCACAAAGCAAATTTGCTTTCTCCTCCTGATGAAACAAGCAAAATAAAGGTTGCTCACGTCCCATTTCAGATATGTTTTTTTTTCCCTGTGCACCAGCTGAAAGACAAACACAGAGAGGGAACCAGAATGCATATTATGCAAGAAACCATATAATCTAGGAGCATCTTTGATTTGGCTGCTGCTGTCACAGACATGCATTTCACAGAGAGGCTTCCCCCCCCCCTTTCCTTTTGTTCTTACTGGTTTATCATTTGTGCCTTTGTCATTTTGTTCCTTCTTCTCAGCCTCTTCACAATGAATCTTCATTTTCCCTCTGACACACTTGTATCTAAATTTCCTTATTTCCTGCCTTTTTTTATTTATATCTGTTGCCTGGTGATTTGATCATGCTGTGGAATACAGGATTAGCAATCTCCGTGTCCTTGGGTACTGCTCAAGGACACCTGTTCTGCAAAGCTCCGTTTTCTTCCCCATTTTAACCCCTTCCAGCGTGTGGAACAGTAATAAATAACAATACCTTGAAATATCTCCAGCTCTGCGTTGGCAGGACATTGTAATCTTCATTCTTCAACAGCTGGCGTGGCCCTTTCTAAGAAGCTTACACGGGAATCTGAAGAATGTGACTCGGGGAAAAAAAAATATTAATACATCCTCTTTGAACTTTGCAAATAGTTTAGCAGCTGTTCCTGCAGAGATAGCTTAGACTCTGCTGGAGAGGGAAATGCTAATTCAGCCATTAGCATCAAATGGGGTACCTGTCCTAGGAATCTGCCTGCAGCTCCGGGTCCCAGCTCCAGGCTCCCAGAATCCCGTGCCTCCTGTGCTGGGAGTTTTTTTCATGAGCAGATCTCAACCCGGCAAGGTTTAAAAGGGCTGCCTGATTTGACAGAAATTAGAGGAATTTGAGGACTAGATTGGAGCAAACTCTGCTAATTCACTAGGAAGGATTTTTCCCTGGCACGGGTGGAATGCTGGCAGGCTGGTCCCAGTCCTTGCCACCCTCAGCCCCCTCATCTCCTTCCACAGGGCCACCAGCAGTGCCATCTCTGCTCAAGAGCTGGTGACACCAGCCCTGGTGGCTGTCCTCCCTCAGGGGGATTTCCTGTGGGTGATAAGCCTGGAAACTCTCTGGAGTGTATTGAGGAGTCACTGGTGGGATTCGCTCTTCTCTGCCGTGTTCTTATTCCCTTTCTGGGCATCTTCCCATTGTAGGAGAAAGGACTTTGGGTTGGAAACTGGTGATTTTGGAGCGTGGGATATGCTGCCAAGGTGGCATTTGCAGGTGTCTCTGGAACCTGCTTCTTTTGATCAGGAAATCCAGCCATAAAGTCAAAGCATTGGTCAGTGTTTCCCTTAAACCCTGGAAACCATGGGCAGAGAAATCAAGGAACTCCTGAGCAACCTGCTGAGTGAACCCCAGGCTAACCCAGGACTTCCCATCCAAAATGAGCAGAAGTTGGACAAAACCAACATTTCCAGTTGAGTTCATGAGTCTGGAGACTCGCTGGGGACACAAAGGTACTGGGGATGGCAATAGCCCTGCTTCACCAGGACCAGTTCAGTAAGGCCAGGTCACTCAGTAGCCAAATGCATATGGGATTTTCCCAAACAAATGCACAGCCTAGAGAACTACACAGCTCCAGGGGAAAAGTCACACTCCAGGGGTAAATTACCCAGCAGAAAAATTGCTCACTCAGCAGAAAATAATAGATCACCCATTTAATCAGATCCATCTGCTCACTGAACCTGATACCTCACCTGGTGACAGGGCACTGCAGGTATCTGTGGTGGGACAGAGGCATCTCAGGCCAACTGTAAAGGTGTTTTTATGGAAGAGCCATCACAGGGGAGAGATCCCATGGGAATGGCATGCAGCAGGTGCTGCACACTGGCCAATTCCAGCAGTGGAATCAGTGCTGGAGCCACCATGGGTTGCAGTTTCTTCCTGCAGCCCCAGAGCCCTGGCAGTGAGGGGCTGAAGGGTCCAAGCAGTCACTCTGGCCTGAAAGGAGGTTTCAGCATCTTCTGAGCATCAAGGAAAGCTGGAGAAGCATCAAAGCACCAATCCCAAACAAGGTTTCAAGAGAGGTGTGGTGGAGGGCGGGATAGTGATAGGGAGGATGTGAAGGGTCAGATCTTCTCGTAACAGCAGCTCCAAGAGTGTGACTGCTCTTCTTGGAGAGCGGGATCAGAAGTGTGGAAAGATGAGTGTTGTGTGCTTTTCATTGGAGGTTAGGGGTTGGATCTGCGAGCCTCCTCCTCTGTTTCCTTTGGAGTCTTCCATGGGCTGCCCTGGGAACACTCTTGGTGCCCTCACATGGAGTGATAGGTGACTTACACCCTGGTGGCACCATGAAGTCAAGGCAGAGGAAGGCAGGAACCTTTCAGGATGCTTTAATCATTGGTATTGCTGCTTGATTACAGGTCCATCCATTCATTGTCCAAAGGACTGCTTCACGGCACCATGTCTCTGCCAGGATAATGGGAAAGCTCTCCTGAAACCATGCACATAGTTCCCATAGCCAGGGCCTTTTCAGGGGGTGTGACTGACCCCAGTAGTGACTTTCGAGTCATCCTGTGAATAAGCCATAAGTTATGGTGATCCCAAGACATATATTGCAGGAAAGTGTATAATAGTGACAAGAAAAAACCTCCAGATTTACAAGCAGAATAAAACCCAAATTTATACATTTGGGAGAAAAAAAAAACCTCAGTCATGGAATCATAGAAAGGAGAGCAAGGAGGGACTTAAGAGGTCAACCAGACCATACTGCTGCCTGAAGTCAGGATCATTTCTACTTAAGCCATTCCTGATGGATGTGTGCCTAATCTGTTCTTAAACCCTCAGTGGTAGAGATTACACATCTCCCCAGGCAATCTCTTCCCGTGCTTAATTATCCTTACTTTCCAGTGCTTAGCCAACATTTCCCTTGTTACAATTTAAGCCTATTGCCCCTTTTCCTAGATGGACAGGATCACTTGGTGCCTCCTTTGCTGCGTTGTGTTTGGACACGTGGCTACTCTTGGCCCTCTCTCCCAGCTTTCCTCCCAGAGACCTTTCCTGCACTCTCCATCTCCTCTCTCCTGACAACCTGCCTCTCTTTTGGAGCAAACTCCACCTGGGATTGGAGCAGAGAGACCTTTCCGCTGGACATCAGTGCACCTCTTGATGCTTTGGGGGAGAGTTTGGAGTTCTTTCCATCCTTCCCCAGGCTTGGGAAGCAGCATTCCTGCTGGAACAGGCGGGCTGGGACGCAGGGGTTGCCGATAACAGCTCCGGCTGTCACTCAGTGCCTGCGTGACACGGAGCCGTTCGTGGGCGTCAGCAGGGTTTGGAATAATTGTCTTCTCTAATTAACTGGTTATCAAACAAGAACATTTCATTACGGTACAATTACTGGCTGCTTTGCTGAGACACAGGGGTGTCAGGATTACGATCCCAACATATGCTTCTTACAGCTCTGATTTTTTGTTTTCATAATCACTAACCGTTTTTGCTTCCTCCCCCACCCCCCCCTTTTCCCCAACCCACCCACTCACTTAATGACTAATGAATCCTCCTGCTAATGAATAAGGAAAATAAATCAGTGGGCATGGCAGGTTAGAAAGAAAAACATGCAAAATGTTTTGAGGATCCTTAAATCTGATAAATTACTTTGAAATTAAAATCCCTGGGAGAAAATGGGATTTAATTAGAAAGTAACATGGTTTTGTCAATGTTTAAATTAAAATTTTAAAGGTTATAAATGAGGCACAAGAGCTGCCTTTACACAGAGGATTCGTGGGAAGTTTTGTTCGGAGCTGCTCTTCCCACGTCAGCGTGGCAATTCCCCAGGGACGGGCAGCTGGGTGTCCTGGGTGGAGCACTGTGTGGGTGCAGAAAGCCCCCATGGCAGGGGCAGGACTGCAGAATTCTCATCAGGAGACCTTTAGGGGTGGTTCTTTACAGTGAGGGTGGGGAGGCCCTGGCACAGGTTGCCCAGAGAAGCTGTGGCTGCCCCATCCCTGGAAGTGTCCAAGGCCAGGTTGGACGGCGCTTGGAGCAACCTGGTCCAGTGGAAGGTGTCCCTGCACATGGCAGGAGAATGAAACTAGATGGTCTTTAAGGTCCCAAAACCATTCCATTCCAAACACAAACCATTCTGTGATTTTATGATTAAAAATCAGATAATCCACTGGGAACCTTCCAGAGCTGGAGGGAGCTCAAGGGATCATTGGGAGAAAGCACTGCCTGGGCTCTCCCTGTCACCCTTCTCAGCAACCCTGCCCTTCCCAGGGAAGGGAAGGGAAGGGAAAAGAAAAAAGAAGGGAAAAGAAAAAAAGAAAAGAAGCAAAATAAAATAAACTTTAAAATAGAATAAGACAAAGAAAGAAAAAGAAAGAAAAGAAAAGAAAAGACAAGAAGAAAGACAACAAGAAAGGAAAGGAAAGGAAAGGAAAGGAAAGGAAAGGAAAGGAAAGGAAAGGAAAGGAAAGGAAAGGAAAGGTCGTTGTATTTTGATATTACAGAGTTAAAAAAAAATTAAATATGCTTTCAATACATCAGCACCCAGCTGAGGCCGCTGTTCATATTTCATTTCTGTACTGGGTACCAAATTTAGGAGCTGGGTACCACATTTAAGAACATCTAACAGCAGAGCTGGTGGATACAGTACATGCTGTGGTGGTGGCACTGGTGCTGCTGCTACAGGCACAAACCTGATCTAGTGGAAGGTGTTCTGTCCGTGGCAGGGGGGTGGAACTGGATGAGCTTTAAGGTCCCTTCCAACTCAAGTCATTCTGAGATTCTATAATAAAAGATGTGAAGATTGTAGAGGAAGGTAATAGCTCTTATTAAGGGAACTGATACAGTTTGAAGAAATAGTTGCTTTTCACAGGCAAACTCTTCTTCAGGCTGACATTTTGAAATGTAGTTTTGTTCTGAATGGAGCAAATATAATATTTCCTGAATACCATAAAGCCAGAGACAAACTTAGGGAAACGCTTCCATTTCAGAAAATTACCGTCTGAGACCTCCAGTGTGTCGAGTCAAAAAGTTTCATTACAGGAGTTGCTGTGATTTAGCAATGAAAATAAAGCTTTCCAATCCTTTTTTGATAGAATTTATCTGTACTGATTTTAAATTCAGGTAACTGCATAGTTTGACTGCTGGAGGTTATTTTCCCTTCCGAGGTCAATGTTGGGAGGGAGTCGGGGGTGCTGCCAAGGAGCTAAATCATAGAACCTTAGAACTGTTTTGGTTGGAAAAGACCCTTAGGATCATCCAGACCCTTCCCCCAGCACTGCCAAGGCCACCACTAAACCATGTCCCCAGGTGTCACATCCATGTGGTTTTTAAACACTTCCAAGGGTGGCGACTCCACCACTGCCCTGGGCAGCCTGTGCCAGGGCTGGACAATGCTTTCCATGAAGAAATTTTCCCTAATATCCAGTGTAAATCATCCTGGACAGAGATGTGCCTGTGAAGCTTCAGCACCTCAATTGTTGAAAGCTCTCATTGGTTTTAAAGCCAAATTAAATGTATGCAAATCTATTGTAATAGGAATCAACATTCAGTGCACTGTTTGAGGAGGGGTTTGAGTTTCCAGTGGGGAAGAGGGCTGGTGGGTACTTTTCTTGGGAGTTTCTGCCTTTATCCTGAAATTTTTATTCCATTTTAAAATATTCCTCCCACTCAGTTTAATCTGTGTAACCCCATGATTACGCAGGATCCCCTCATTATTTTATTGGAGGTCCTCCATCTCCATGTGTGGAGAGAAAGGGGACCAGCACACCATCATGAGGTATCTCTCATTACGGGGAGAGATGGAAGAGTAACCAATAATTCACTCTTTAAAAGCTTTATTATGTTTTTTTCTTAGGGAAGTAAACTCTCCTGGTACTTGCTGTTTCCCATGAGCCCCAGCTCAACAAGTCTTAAGATTAGCCAAAAATCTCAGCTTTTATATGGTGAGAAAGCAGCTCCCTGTTGTCCAGACTGCAGAGAAGAGCTGGAGCTTTGAGCTCTAAATAATGGGAGAGCCAAGAAAACAAATGGATAGTTTAGGATTTCTGGATGTCTCACCTGTTTTTAAGCTAGTCATCATCATAGGGTCGTAGAATGGTTTGAGTTGAGTTGGCCTTAAAGATAGTCTTGTCATCTGAGGATTTGGGCTTCTGTCTTGCTTTTCCAAGAGCCTGGATCATTCTTTGCCCTGGTTCCTCTTGGGAAGTGGTTTCATTGAGTTCACCTTGTAAAATCAGGCTGTGTCTCTTACAGCAGACATGTATAAATTCCTGTCTAGGCACATAGACTACTCTGACCTGTCATGTCTCCCAAAATCCCAGCGTGGTTTATGTTCTTGGTTTGGGGTAAATTCCTCTCCAACAGAGTTTTTCGTACACGTGGCCCCAGTGGAGGGGATCTCACTGAGCAAGCAGGGTGCAGCCAAGCCCAGCATCACCCTGTTTTACTTTTCTAATTATTATCCATTCCCTGGTCCTTTCAGGCATACAAGAGGAAAACAGAAGCTGCGAAGAAGGAGTACCTGAAAGCTCTGGCTGCATACCGGGCCAGCCTCGTCTCCAAGGTACCTTGCTGCTGTGGGACAGGGCAGTGCTGTGAGTTGCAACTCATGGGAACCTCCTGGAAGGAGCAAGTTTATAGGAAATACCATGTAATTGTGATATCAGAACCGATATCAGCATTGGCACCTTCCCCAGGCTTTAGCACCCTGTAACGAAACCCCACTTTTGGGTTGGTTTCATCAGCAGGGGAGGGGTGTCCCTGCATGGGGTGTTGTCCCTATTACCTGTCCCCACCACCAGCAGCCGTTCCTCACCCAGCTCTTGGGGTGTGAGTGCAGCAAACAGGGGCAGGAGGACGAGGCTCAGTGTGGGTGACACTGGGAGCCCAGGGGAGGATGACACCCCAGTACTGGGCTCACCAGCCAGCACTGGTACCAGCATCCTGCTGCACCCTGCTCCAGGCACTTGGGCTGTCCTGGCTGCTCAGGACCCCAGGTCCTGCACACACAGCCTAGAGCAGATTTTTGGGGAGTAGGACCCGTACCTGTGTGTTGATGACCATGTGAGCGCGTACGTGCTTAACCCTCCACTGTCAGGCCAAACCCAGAGAGCCCATTTCAGTGCCTAAGGGTGAACTTGGAGAGCATTTCAGGCTCATACAAGAATGATGGGCCAAATGCTTGCCCATCCCAGGGGACCTCACAGCTTGCCCTCCTCCATGCCTCCAGGGAGGGGCCATGGGCATTTGCTGCCTGTGGATTTGGGGTGGCTCCTGTGGAGTTGGTAGCTTTGCTGGCTCAGGGGTAATGCTGCCCTTGGGTTGTGAGTAAATGTATCAGGTTGGTTTCTCTTCAAAGTTTCTCCTTTGTACTACACCACATCCTCAGCACTTAATCATCACATCCAGCTGCCATGGGAAATAATGTGATGTCCCAAATCAACCATCATCTGCAGGATCCGTGTGATGGTGGTGAGCTGGAAAGCCTCAAAGTCCCTGTGCAGACTGTTGGCTGTCAATTCGCAGACAGAAGAGCAGCCAGGACAGAAAAAGGGAATGGGAAAGACTTTTGGGAGTTTAAAAGCTCTTCTTGGACCTTCTGGAAACCTGTGGGGGTCCTGCCTTGACCATGCCTCGCAGCAGTGTGGGGCAGGAGGCACGGAAGGCGTGTGCTCTGTGGCTTCATTTTTTTCCAATTTCTCCATTGACCAGTTCTCTGCAGAAGAGCAACTTTGTTTTTGAGTACAGCAGCACAGCGTGACCCTGGCTGATGGGTGAGAAAGGATCTGGAGTATCATTACAGAGCCCATCACAGGACAAAAGCCTCATTGTCCAACCCAGAAAATTTCCCCTTGTTCTTCTCTTTTTCCTGCCGAAATGAGGGCACCATTGTCCAGTGCATTATAGACACGCCAGGGCTGCAAGAGGGCACAGGATCAGGAAAGCAGAGGTTTTACAGACCTATTTGTTCTCCATTGGAAGCAGAATGTGGTCACCCACCTCTGTGGACTGAAGCAGTGAGCTGCTGGTGGGCCCTTTGCCTATTCACTGGTTAATTCCCTCAGGTGCTCCAGGCTCTGCCAAAGGGGTGGTTGAGTTACTGGACTTGAGTTTTCCAGATATGGATGCTGCACCCAGCCTGTGGACACCCAACTGCTGGAGGGGTGGGAGTTCATGTGCTGGCTGATGGGAGAGGAGCAGGAGCCGTGGGGTCTGGGCAGCTCAGTTGGACAGACGGACATCTCGGGACATGTAACCATGTTTCCACTTTTCCTTCCTCATCACCTCCCGTTCTGTTTTCCCGCAGAGCTCTGCCGACCAGGGGGAGACGAAAAGCGCCCAGAGCAACCCACCTTCCAAAATGATCCCCCCCAAGCAGCCCATGTACCCGATGCCTCCACAGGCTTCCTCGCCCTACCCCGGCCTGGGCTCCTTCCTGTCCCCGTCGGACCTGCAGAACTACCGCGGCCACCCCCACGCCGGGCTGTCCCGGACCCTCAGCTCCAAGCCCATGCTGCCCAGCATCAGTGCCTCCCCCCCGCCCTCCTTCCAGATCAGCCCCCCGCTCCACCAGCAGCTGTCCTTGCACCACCCGCAGAGCTCCCTCCTCAGCCAGCCCCTCAGCATGCAGCAGGTCCCCCAGCAGCCCCTCCTGTCCCCCCCCATGGCACTACAGGTACAGCCCCCCATGAACGCCTCGCCTCCCGGGCAGCAGGTGGGTCCGGTGGGTTCTGGGGGGGTTAGGGGGTCTCGGTGTTGATGTTGTCCCCAAGGGAGTCATGGAGCGTGTCCAGGGAAGGGAACGGAGCTGGGGAAAGGGGCTGAGGGAGCTGGGGGGGCTCAACCTGGAGAAAAGGAGGCTCAGGGGAGACCTTCTGGCTCTGCGACTCCCTGACAGGAGGGGGGAGCCAGGGGGTTGGGTCAGGCTCTGCTCCCAAGTAACCAGCAGTAGGACAAGTGGAAACAGCCTCAAGTTGCACCAGGGGAGGTTTAGGCTGGATATTAGGGAAGATTTCTTCATTGAAAGGGTGATCCCTGGAACAGCTGCCCAGAGAAGTGGTGGAATCGCCGTCCCTAGAAGTGCTCAGGAAATGTGTAAATGTGGCACTTGGGGGCACAGTTTAATGGTGGCCTTGGCAGTGCTGGGTTAATGGATGGACTCAGTGATCTTGGAGGTCTTTTCCAACCTCAGTAATTCCATGATTCTGTGACTCCTCCAGCGCAGGGGTTGAGCTTTAGCTCTGCACAACCAAAAGTGGCTTCTGGTGATAGCTTGTGCCCAGAAAAGAGCGTAAAAGGGGATCCTCACAGTCACTTTAATTGGGGTAGTTGTTGTCACTGAGGGCAGCATTTTGTGAAACTTCATTCCACATAAATTTGTGAATAAAAATTTTAAGTTAAAAAAAAGAAAACCCACATTGCCCTAATTGGGCTATTTTGGAGAAAATCATGTTCTTGGTCAGGTGCCTACCATGACTCTGGTTTATATACATTGCCTAATTTTAACTAATTAAAGCCACCCCCAAAAAATGGGGAAAGCTGATCAACTTTCAGGTGAAGCAGCCCCACAGTGTCCTTGTTGAAGTGCCAGCAGTGGCAGCCATTCCCACCTTCCACAGCCATTCCCTCCCACCCAGAAGGGAGGTCCTGACAAACACGAGCAGGGAAGAGGGATGTAAAACGTGTTGCTGCATTGACAATTGTTTGCAAGAACTCACAGGTCCCACCGTGGTGGTTTGGGGTCACGGGCCTGAACTGCTCCCTCTGTCCCTGGGGCTCCCCCTGCACATTTTAGGGACAATGCATGTAGATGTGTTTATGCACTGCTATTAGATCTGCTCTGGATGCTCCTGTAACCCTCCCTTTCCTCTCCACTCTGCAGGACTTCTCCCATATTTCGTCTGAGTTTCAGAACAGTGTTGGACCCCGTTCGCCCGGCGCATCAAACCCTCCAGGAAGCACTGAGTGGGACAACGACTACCCCAGCAGAGAGTGTGGGGTCAACCACTGCAGGCCAGTAGACAAAACAGCCCATTGCTAATGCAGTTCCTGTGATCTGAGCTGTGACAGTGGACAAGAGCTGGGAATCTGCCCTAAAATGTACAGCAAGAGGGTAGGCTGGTTATGGTCAGGGAAGTTCAAGGCTTCCTTGCCTCTGCAGGCTCACCTGGAAGCAGGCAGCTTAAAAATCATGGATAAATTCTTCACTGGACATGAAGAGATTTCTCTTTTTTTAGATTTCCATCCAATTAGTAACAGAGGGGTTGGACACATTTCCTTCTGGAGCAGACCAGGGAAGCTCAGTCTCCCAAACAGGGTCCCTGGAGGTTTGAAGGTGGCCCTGTCCATAAGGCCAGGGAGACCTCATTGAAGCCTTCCAGTATTTTAAGGGAGCTTATAAAAAAGAGGGAGAACTACTTTTTACATGGTTAGAAAGTGATAGGATATGGGGGAACAGTTTTAAACTAAAAAAGGAGAGATTTAGATTGGATATAGGGAAGAAATCCTTCCCTGTGAGGGTGGGGAGGCCCTGGCACAGGTTGCCCAGAGAAGCTGTGGCTGCCCCATCCCTGGAAATGTCCAAGACCAGGTTGGACAGAGCTTGGAGCAACCTGGTCCAGTGGAACATGTCCCTGCCCATGGCAGGGGGTGGAATGAGATGAGATTTAAAGGTCCCTTCCAGCCCCAACCATTCTGTGGTTCCATGTTAAGCAACATCTGTCTGTTCCTAAAGCGATTGCTCTTATCCCTGAGGCCACAACTTCCCATAATTGTCTCTACCAGCAGGTCCACAGACATCTGCACAGATCCTCTCCCTTATGCCCTACAAGCTCTGGCATGAATGTGCCAACATGAAGGTCCCTTCAGAGCTGCATGAATTCCTCAGTAAATAAAAACCTCGGGATGGTGTTAAGGCTGGGGAACGGGGAGGGTGTGGAGGCCATTTCCAACCACTGCCTAATCCACTGCTCTTGGCTCAGCTTTAATAGTTTGGAGATTCTATTGTGCTCTGTGAAACAGGCCTGAGGTTTGCAGGGGGAGCAGGTTGGGAAGGAGGCTGGGTACCTTTGGAGCATTGTTTGATTCGCTAGAAGTACTGGAACACGGTGCTTTCAGAGGAGATAATAGCCAGCTCCCAGGCTTTTCAGAGCACAGCTCCTGTCTGTGCCAGCAGAGCACTTACAATTGCTGGGCTGTACAGACTGTACAGACATTTATTTCTTTCAGGGAGATAAATAACTGGCTGATCCATTAGAATATCTCTGCTGTCTGCCTGCCCGAGGGGGCTCAGCGTCATGGGCTCTGACAGTGACCTTTGCATGGTCCCTCCCGAAGCCTCTGCAGACAACCTGAAAGAAGGAACATGTTCAGGACTTGATTATAAAAGTCACTTTAAATGTTGTTGGCAAAATGCTAAAGGTGCTTGGTGGGTTGTGGAGCTCAGTTTCCAGAGGTGCTGAGCAACTCCCACAGAAATGAACCCCCCTAGAAATAAATGTCATTTCTTAGGGGATCAGCTGGGAAAACACTTGATTCCCTCTGCAAATCCCACTGCCTGGGCCCCGTGCAGAAAGCCCAGGGTGCTCTAGAAATGGGTGTAATGTTCCCATAACAGTCAGGACTGAGTTTTATGTTGCTAAAACAAGCTCTGTGACATCTGGCTGGAGTGCTGCATTGTAAGCAGAGGGCCCATGCAATTCATGATCAAAGCTCATGCATTTCATGCCTTTGTCACAGCAGAAATATCAAATTTCATGGGTTTATCGCAGCTTCCTGGAAAAGAAAAATCATTCTAAACCCAAACAGATTATGCAGAGACTTCCAGATAATTATTAGAGTAGATTATACCAAGGAACTCAGATGGATATAGATCAGTACTGCAGAGAGTGCTTAGTGCACTGAAAAATATCATACTGGCTGTTAAGGATGCCCCATCCCTGGAAGTGTCCAAGGCCAGGTTGGACAGGGCTTGGAGCAACCTGGTCTGGTGGAAGGTGTCCCTGCCCTTGGCAGGGGGGTGAAACAAGATGAGCTTTGAGGTCCCTTCCAACCCAAACCGTTCTATGGTTCAAAGACTTTCCTTCTGTGCTGCTTTCTCTGATGTAATTCGTACCAGTTTCCACCCAGTGTTCAAAGCTGCCCTTGGGCTCCTCAGTGGCACCTTGCCATGAGCTGGGTGGGTCCAGCCATCAGCAGGACCTGGGCACAGCAGTGATGAAGGGAAGGCAGGCCTCGCTGGGTTTGGTCTGTCAGTGCTGGTTTGGGTATAACCGGGAAGCCTCTGGATCACGTAATTGCCCATTTCAACCTCGAAAGTGCCTTGAGCCTAATTGCAATTAAAGCAGCACTCTGAGGAGCAAAATCAACTGCTGGCTGGAAAGAAAGGGGATTATTCACTGATGGGATGTGAGTGAGCTGTAGAGTCCCAGATTCCTGAGAGAGAGGATGGTTCCACCCTCCCCAGCACAGAGACAGCCCTGTCCTGCTCTCTGGGTTATGATTTTTATTTCATGTCTAACCTTGATATTTCTTTAGCTTCCAACATGTGTTGGCACTGGGTTAGCTGGGGTAAAAACCTCCCAGTCCTCATTTTCTTTTGTGTTTGTCACCCAGACAACTTCTGGAAAACTGACAAGGTTGTCTTTCTCTCCGTCCTTCTCCATTAATAAGGGAACTGCTGTAGGGATTTTTGTTTCCCAGCCTATCTGTGCTATTTAAAATGCCATTAAATGACACTTCTTCCCACATGCCCCTCAGATTCTGGGATCCTGTGAGCAGACACTCCTTAATTCATAACTCAGCCATGTTAGGGGGAGAGAGAGAGAGAGAGAGAGAGAGAGTTTTAAATGTTTCTTAGCTCCTGCTTTCCCCATTCTTAATGACTTTTTCCTTACTGACTTCCATCCAATTTTCCTGGCTCTTTCTGGGCTGAAGCCCAAGCTGTCCTAGATTGTGAGCAAAGACACGGGTAGCATTTCTCAGCTCCTGCTTGGTGTGTGACTGTCACTTCCCACAAGTAACTGCAGCATACAATTTTATTGCTTTTTTGCCATCATATCACAAACTCCTTTCATAGTCCCCTGTCTCCCTCACCCGACAGCCTGATTCTGGCACTTGCTCTTTCCCAGGCACTGAATCCCTCTGTTTTGCAGTGACTTTCTCTGGGGGAACTGGCTCACCTCTGTCGGAAGTGCAGCTTGGTTTACAATCGTGTGCAGATCTTTCTTAATTCCTTAATTAAATCTTATTTCCTTGAAGCACCTCGCTTATTTTTTCTGCCTTGTTTTCTGATTACAACTCTTTTCACACCATCGGTGGCTGGGTCCTTTCCATCCTAGGACATTCTGTGATTCTATGATTTACCTTTTTCTCCTCACATTTAGGTATTTTTGGAAAAACACTGAACTGGATTCATCTCTTCTTGTCCTTCCTCTCATTTGCAAGGCACGGATTAGGTTCTTTTTGTGTATCATCCTTCGACTTTTCTCCCCTCTTCCCACTCTACTTTGGACTAAAAGACAGGACACTCTCCATTATGCCTTGTCCAGACACAGGAAAAAACATGTACAGCCACTCCATCCAGACATTTATAACCTCCCTAATTCCTGCTAATGACAAAGTGATCCTCTCCAAATGGGGGAATTTTCCAAACCAGAAGCTAAATGAGCAAACACTATAAAAAGGCAAGGATAACCCATCACAACTGCACTTAGTTTGGATTCAATTATTTATGTTAATACTTTGTAATGAACTGGGAAATGTACTGTAGCATGTTTTGTAAAATTAATGAAGTTTTAGTACTGGAATACCTTGCTGCTGCTCGATGGCATTAAATCTTGGCTGAGTGCAGTAGGGAAGACTCTGCATTTTAAATGCAGATTATAAAATGTGGAGATTAGCAAAGGGCGGGCTCCTCACTGTCACGAGGCAGCTCTGTCAACAACAGCACTGCCTTGCTGACTGCCCCTTCCCTGTTATTCCACTCACCAGCACACCCACACCAGAATCTCCCAAGGCTTTGCAATGTTCTTCATCACTTTTTAAGGCCAAGATGTCCTTATGGAGCCAGTGATGTTTCCCTCATGAATGTGTAGGCAATAAACCCCAGTAAAATGCCTGGATTTCAGAGCCAAACCCACACAGGACATCAGCCAGGGGAGAGGGGTTTCAGTCACTCCTCTCCCTGCTATTCCATGAAAAAAAAGAGCATCTGGTCTCCCTTGTAGGACACTGCTGATGGCAAGTTAGAGTGGCCAGGGGGTTGAAATGCCAGTGGTGCCTCTCTGCACACCCTGCTGTCCCCATGCGGGCTGTCTCAGTGCTGTGAGCTGATTTCCCCCCTCCAGAACGCACCTGGATCTCTTGACATCAAAATCATGGTTTCAATAACGTGATAATTCATGATCTGTTGTGCCAGGGATGTGCAGAGCACACAGCCTGGCTGCTGTCCCAGCAGCCCTCCTCCGCAGCCTCCTTGGATTCCTTGTTCCTCCTACGGTCTTCTTCAGACCAGCTAATCCTGCTCTCTCCGAGATTTATTCCCCTCGCTTCTCGATTATTAATTTTTCGCATTTCACATATTTGGGGGAGAAAAGCATCGAGCAGATGGGTGTCTGCTGCTCCCATGCTCTTAAGCCATGAAACAGATGTAAATCCTCCTCACAAGCATCTTCAGGCATAAGCCCCTCAGTCACATTTTTGGGACCCTCTACTCCTTACATAGAGTCAGAATGATATATTTTATCCAAATTCAGGTGTACACTTCCCAAAGCTCCATGGCTCAGCCTAAGGACAGCGTGTGATGAAGCAGGGGATGGTGGCCCAGGGGCTGATCCCTGGCACAGCATTCCAGTATCCTACTGGTGTGACCTGCGGGGACATCCTGCCCTGCAGCCCCAGCAAGAGGAAAAGTTGAGCCACAGGAAGGAATTTATTGTCGTAGCCCTCATTGTTGAAATTCAGGAATAAATAAAATTGCACCAGGCTCTTACTCTTACTCTTAGTGGGGACCTTTTTGCTCTCTACAACTACCTGAGAGGAGGGTGTAGTCAAGGGGATGTTGTTCTCTTCTCCCAAGTGATGGTACAAGAGGAGACAGCCTCAAGTTGCACCAGGGGAGGTTTAAATTGGATATGAGGGAAAATTTCTTCACTGAAAGGAGGGTCAAGCATTGGAAGGGGCTGCCCAGGGCAGTGGTGGAGTCCCCATCCCTGGAGGAATTTAAAAGACGTGTAGATGTGGCACTTGGGGACATGGTGCAGTGGTGGCCTTGGCAGTGCTGGGGGATGGTTGGACTCGATGATCTCACAGGGCTTTCCCAACCTCAGTAATTCTGTGACTTTTACGTGCCTCTGCCTTGCCCCCCTCTGTGCAAACCACGTGTACAATTTCAGCCTTGCCATATGGACCATAGAGAAATGAAGCCTAGACTGACTTTATTTCAATTAGAGTAAGGCAGTAACTTAAATATCAATTTGAAAGTAAGAAGGAAAGCATTTTTGATAATGCATTTTTGTCCTTCTGATTTTGATTCAAATTGCTGGGGAAAGTGTTTCACTCAGATAACAGAGGTACTTCAGTTACCCACGCAGAAATGTACGGACGTGTTCTCACTGCAGAGCAGCAACAATAACAAATAAACACCAATTATAAAACCCCCCTCCTGGTGTATTCCAGGATCCTGCCTCACCCTGCGCCTCTCGTTTCTCTTACAGCATGCTGCCAAGGGACAAGGCACTCTACCTCACCTAAGGCTCACCACCCCTTTTGGAGGAGGCTCAGAGGAAGGACACTTGAGAGGGTCTATCCCACGGACCACCCCGGGCAGGCACGAGCAAGTCGTACGGGCGGGAGAGCTGCCACTTGCACCTCGTCGCTGGCTTCGTTCCCAGGCTCTGAGAGCAGTTTTGGTTTTTTGGTTTTGTTTTTTTTTTTTTCTTTCCTTAGTTTTTTTTTTTTTGAACGCTAAAAAAAAAAAAAGTTCTACTAGTTTTGTTTTTTTTGTTTTTTTTTATTTCCTCCGCGGAAGCCCCAAAAATAAAATAAAAATAAAAAAAAACCACCACACCTCGTGAATCGTAAGAACCAAAAAAAAAAAAAAAAAAAAGGAAAAAGAAAGAAATAAAAGCTAAAAATAATAAAAAAAATTAAAATAAACGCAAAACCAACAAAAAAAATAATAAAAATTAACTGAGGACACCGTTTTTCTGCTTGCCATCAGCTTAGCTACAGACTATTTTCCTAGTGAACTGCTTTTAGACGCAGCATAAGCCCAGGTCTGGTGTCCTACAGCATTAGGCCAGCTCAGTAGGAGGATGCACTCTTTTGACTTGCTAACAGCACTAAACTTTGTGCAAGAAAATGTGAAGTTTGTGTGAATATTGTACATGCAAAGGCCTTGGATGGTCTGGCAAAAAAAAAAAAATTACAAAAAAATAAATAAAAACTATTCCTAGGTAGGTGGGGGGAGAGAGCAGAAGGCAAAATACGAGCAGAAAAATGTGAAAAAGATCATGAAAATATAATTTGTTGGATAGTTGTAAGTAGTTTACTAAGTGTTTTAGAGCTGTGCTAAAGACATCTTTAAGATTTTTTTGTGAAAGAAATTAGTAGTTTACTTTATAGTAAAAGCATTTTATATTAATTGTAGCACATTTTTTAGTTATACATAGAAGGGAGATGTGTATAAAAAAAACCAACAAAAAAAGCCTGCCAAACTTGTTTCTATTATTTGTACAGCAAGAAATGGACAATTTATATCCATGTTGTATGGCATTATTATTTTTTTTCGGCCATATGTCCATCTATTTAAAAATTGCTGACAATGATTTTTGTCTATTTATGAAAAATTAGAGAGCATAATTACAGTTTCTCATAAGGTGCATTTTTGGGGTTCTTTTTTTTTATTTTATTTTCTATTTTGTTTGACGGCGCTGCTTTCGCAGCACCTGGCACATTCGGTTCACAATGCTTATCTTAACTTTCTTTATAATAAAACATATGAAAAGTAGAGCTGAAGCAGTCTCTCCTTATTCTGGGGGACACCCTGCAAGTGTCCTGGCCAGCGAGATCCCTGCCTTGTCCTCCTCAGTTTTTCCATCCCTCCCTCCTCTCTCATCACATTCTCACCTGCCCCAGCTCTGTTGACCCGATTCCAGTGTTTCCTTGGATGAGAAGGACACGAAAAGGATGGAAAATTCCCATGGTGTAAGGATGGAACTGGCATTTACAACCTTCTGTAGCAGGGATGGAAAATTCAAGTGGTGTGAAAAATAGCATGATGTGAAAGTTCACCCCCTGGGCCACCTGCCTGGAGGAAAACTTTTAATTAATGTACCATTTTAAGCCCATTTGTAGACACAGCTTGGCTGTAGGAGTCTCATCATATTGTGTCACAGAAGGGTTTGGGTTGGAAGGGACCTTAAAGCTCATCCAGTTCCACCCCCTGCCATGGGCAGGGACACCTTCCACTAGACCAGGTTGCTCCAAGCCTCATCCAACCTGACCTGCAACACTGCTCCAAGAATTTGAACAAAGCATGGTCGTTTTGATCACCTCATGGTCTCACATGTGCTGTAAAACCTTCCTGCCAAGGAATGCCCATTGAAGTCCATCAAAATACCAAGCCCCAGCTCTTGCTGCCCCACAGGCCACTGGGCAGGGCAAGGAACATGTTGTGGGAGTTGTCCTGCTGCACCCTCTGGTTGACACCTCATCCTACACACCCTGCTGGCACGTCAGACACCCCAAATTCCACCCAGAATTGCCCACCCTGCATTGGGGCAGGGAGGAAAACCTTCTGAGATAGAGGGAGGGTTTGGGGCATGGTGGGTTTGGACCAAGCAGCCCCCAGCAGACCACCCTGGACGCCAGGAGAGGTGGAGATAACAGCACCATGGCAAATCCCTGGAGCTTCAGGACCCCACAGAGGCTTGAAGGTATCCAGGTAGGTCACAAGCTGCTCCTGCAACCATACTGTGGAGCTGGGCAGGGTTCTGGATGAAGCTTTAGATGTGGGACTCTGCCTCGTCGCTGGCCAGCATGAAGCTCCCCTTTTATCTCTGCAATCTTGAGGCATTTGAAAATAAAAATAAAATGCATAAAAAACCTTCCGAGGGAGCAGCATGAGCAATGGCACTGGCAGCCCAGCTTAGTGAGCTTGTGGTGAGGAGATAATTACCCTGCAATATCAGAGCCAGGAGGTTTCTTCCAAATATGCAATTATTAAAATAAGGGGGAGAAAATAGAACATTGAGATGAAAACCTTCCTTGAGTTATCACAGCAAGGAGATAGGACTTACTCCAGGGAGAGTTTCTGGAATGTTAATATTTTGTGTGTGGCAGGTAAGTGGCCTTGAGGCTCTGAAATCACAGGGAAGAGGTTTCTAGCCCTGGGAGAAGGTCTGGAAGGAACCATCACTGGAAGTGTTGCTTTGCTCCAGGTCCCTGTGGTTTGTCCTTTCTGGAGGAAGGTACCATCCACGATGCCCAGCAGCTCCCTGGCCCTGTGCCCCAGCTGTGTCACCTTTGGGTCGCTGTGACAGTGGATTTGGAGCACTTTGGAAGCCTCCACGGAGAAAGTCTCCTCTATTTGTGGGACCACAGTGCAGGGAGCCATTGAAAGGTGACCTTGCCAGTTTAGGATTAACTGTGCAGAGTAATAGCCACATTTTTAACAACTTTCTGGCCATCCACCCACATTTCTGCAAGGCTGCTCTGCTCCCTCTGCTTCTCTGCAAAGGGCTGGTGGCCAGCAAGGAGCAAGGACCCACTTCCATCCTTGGTGATGTGGGAGCCACCTGAGGAATGAAGGCCAGTTGGCTCTTAGAGAGCCTGAAGCTTTAATAAGAAATTGTGAGGCATTCCAGACCACTTCAATCACTCCTAATCTCTAAATTTGCATGATGGCAGTTGTGCTTGAATGGCATTCCAGCTGTTAGCTAATTGTCATGGACCTGGAGTTGCTCCAGGGAAGCAACTGGGAGCTGAGCCTCCCATCCACCATCACAGCTGGCTCACAAAATCATAGAATTCCAGAATGGTTTAGGTTGGTTTTGGGACCTTAAAGGCCATCCACCCCCCTGCCATGGGCAGGGACACCTTCCACTGTCCCAGGCTGCTCCAAGCCCCGTCCAACCTGGCCTTGGACTCTTGCAGGGATGGGGCAGCCACAGCTTCTCTGGGCAACCTGTGCCAGGGCCTCCCCACCCTCACAGGGAAGGATTTCTTCCTAACATATAGTCTAAATTTCTGCTCTTTCAGTTTGAAGCCAGTCCCCCTTGTCCTGTCACTATCTGGCGTTGTAATTAGTTGTTCTTCATCGTTTTTACAGGCCCCCTTCAAGTAATGAAGGAGTTCATCCAGTCTCCACCAATGGGTTCAGCCCCCCGAGGGTCAGCACCAGAGCCCTGGGCTGGGCACCAGTGACATGACTGGGGGAGCCTCCCCTTGCCCTGAACCTTGGTCTATAATTAACATTAATAGAAATGCAGTAGCCGGGTCTCAAGGAGCCTCAGGGCAGGGTCAGCTCTTCCTGAACCCTGCCTGTGTGCCTAAAGTCCCTTTAAAAACCTTTAAATTCCAGGCAGATAACCTAAATCTCTCTCCCTACAAAGCAAATCCCTCGCTTTTGAACATAGGGAAGAATTTATTGCTTTCCTTGTTGTGGTAATTTTTTCCATGTTTGAAGAAGGATGTTGGCTCCCCCCCACCTCCTCTCCACCTGCCCCAGCTGTTGCAATGGCAGAGGTCGTGTTCTGGAGCAGGATGAGCTGTGCAGCTTCCAATTTTAGTCAAAGAGCACCAGTTAGATCCTCAAAAGCCCCTGGAACAACTTTGGGGCCGGGGACTCACAGGGCAGGGGAAGGGGCAGGACCAAGGCAGGCATTCCCAGGGATCAGGCTAATGATGGAGAGGGATGTTAAGAGGCAGGAGCAGGGAGAGACCTGGCTAATTGACTTTGGTTTATGAAGACATAATTAGCAGCGCTGCAGGATGTAATGGGGAGTTTAACAAACCTCATCAGCGGGATCCCGGTGGTGTTTAACCCTTGGAGCGCAGCCCCAGGCAGGTGGGATGGGTGACTCCAGACAGCCATGCCTGGCTCCCACAGAAACAGGGATACCACCAGCATCCCACCAGCCCACCAGGACACAGCCTCCTGCATAGCCAGGGTGTGCAAAGGGCCCACTCCTGACTTGTGGTTTCTCCTCAGGCACCACCCTGAGCTGTGCCCACGGCCACGAACGCCCCGGCAGCGCTGGGAGGAAGCTTTGTCTTTGTTACATCTGTGTTATTATTATCAAGATGATGGAATGGAAGGGAAAACAGCCCTGACAAGCAATATTGAGGGGTTTACGCAAGAGGGATCAAAGGAAAGGACTTCATTTGATAAATCCTGGGTCCCTGACAACTGCAGCACGTGCGAGGAACAGCAGCCTTGTGCCAGCCCCGGCAAAGTCCTGGTCCCTACCGAGGGCAATTTGCACCTTGGCAAGTGTCCATGTTCCCAAAGGTCCTGTAGGGGTTGGGAATGCTGTGGTGAGAGCAGCAGTCCTCACTGTGCTCCTGCTGGGAGCAGAGTGGTCAGACATGGAGCGACTCCATGGTGGTGGAAATGTGCTGCAGCACTGGGACCAAGCTCTTGGCACAGCCCCCACACACAGGGGACAGCAGGACCCCCAGTGCTGTGCAACCAGGCAAAGAGGTTGGATGTTGGACCCAGCACTGGCTGTGCAGCACCTACAGCTCATCACCCAGATGTGCCTGTGCTCCACCAGAGTTGTGGCCACCATCACACACTCCCACCTGTGCCATGACCCAGCCCATGGATGCAGGCATGGGATCACAGAACCATAGAATGGTTTGGCTTGGAAGGGACCTTAAATTTCACCTAATTCCAGCCTCCTGACATAGGCAGGGACACCTTCCACTAGC